TTACTTTCTCGTTATCCTGCAAATTCCAAGAGTTGCTAATTTCAGCGACACAAAAGAGCAGAATTTATATGTATATATAAATTTTACTCTTTTGTATCGCCGGAATTAGCAGCTCTTGACATTTGCAGAATAGCGATATATATATATATATATATATATATATATATACATACATACATACATGGAAAGTTTAATAAACCATTCAAATGCAGATGATAAAATATATAATACGCTCTTTATCGGCACGTTCCGAGCTATATTCGCGCATTTCTTACAGCAGCAGATACATCGCGATTACGGACAGTAACCTGTAAATGATAACGTTATGCGTGTCAAATGTTCGCCAAGACGTTATCGTCGGGCATAATCGCCGAGCGGCTCGTCGCCGCTCCGATGCGATGTCAAGGGTCAACAACCGTTCCTGTTAATCCTTAATCGAGACACGGGTTCGTGCTCGCAGGGCGTATTCATCCGGACACGTCAGGTCCACTCCACTTAACCCTCGCAGGCCCTCGCACAGATAAAGGCGTCACGATTATGATAAATGCGAGTTCCGAGCACGCGGAGGGTGGTTAGGGTGGTTAAGCGCTTAGCGCTTACGTAACGGGGCGAAGGGGCGAATTTTATCTCGCCGCGTGCACGAGGCCGAGACCGTACGGTTTAAACGTTTCCCTTCGACCCCCGTATCCGTCCGCGTGTAACGGGGGGGGGGCTATACCGCCAAATTACAAGTTACACGAAGCTCGGGCTCGAGCCGAGATGTTAAATGCTGCGGCAAGTTCCTACCCCGACACGCACGCGATCGTTGCCACGGTTGCAGTTTTTACGTTCTAATTCGCGATTGCGAGCCCTCGGGATTTTCAGATCAATTCGGGACGGCTTCCCGGCTTCGAGGAGGGAGTTTGCTTCTCGGCTTCGGACGAAATCCATCTCGCAGGCACGAGGACATTTTCGGAATCCTTCCCTGGCCGCTCGAGGGAGCGTTTCTGCGAAAGGAAAACCGGAGGCGCTCTGTTATTTACAGATATGCAGGAAGATCCATCGATGAGATACGAGAGACAAATGCGTCGTCGTGTACGTGTTATTAATGGCGGAATTCCGGAAACTACGTTGACACAAAATGTTTCACGTTTCCGTATGCTTGTTAGTCGTTACTTGATTAGGAGCCAATTAGAATGCACACACGCGTCCCGCTTTCACAGGCAACCGTGCAGGCACGTGCAAATTTGTAATTGCGCATGTAATGTAATGCACCTCCCGGCCGTAAATTGTTTCTTAGGGGACAATACAAAGCTCTATAACAACGTAGACAAGAAATATATATCGTTCGCAGCATCTGTCTCGTCGTCTGCGTTCTTTGTCCTATATTAACTTTTTCGAAACTGTGTCACGATTTATTTATATAAGAGAATCTATGTTACGAATTATTTCTACATCGGTAAACAGCGCAAGAATTTTATGCACATAAAATTTATCAATATAATATTTACTTGTTAAGCATGTAATATTTATAGATATAATAAATTTACTTTCAATTCACAAATTTATATTTTGTTGTCATTTTTTGTTTATTGTTATAGTTAGTACTTTAAAATCGCATTAGATGATTTATAATTAGTGCTGAATTTTAGAATAAAACTCAGTTTATAATCTTTTTATTTCACATGTTAACAAATACATATATAATTTATTTTGATATGATGTCAAGTTGATATGTGTGTGCATACTAATTCTTCAAATCGTAAATTATAAAGAAAATTTTATTCTGCTATTTTCTCTGACGCGAAATTTAAAGTGGGTTTCAAATTATACAAATTCTATCCGCGCAATATACTCTTTACTAAATGATTAATTATAAAGAACGCTGAAAAACCAATTTGTTATTCCACCCAAAATATCGCGTAGTCGTAGCTAAATTTCAATCGCGCCTCGCGAAATATAATAAATAAGCGAAATGTTTTTCAGGGAATTTCAAAATATGAACCTGCGTATTATCGCGGAGAACGGAGGAGAATTATCGCCTAATAGTGAACACGGTCGGGTACGATATCGCGATGAAACAACAAGCCGTATCGAGGAACCGCGCGGGCTATCGGTCAGTAATTGAGGCGACCGACGTAATTTATGCGCAGGGTAAATTTGTGCGCAGCATCTCGCATCCGGGATGATTTATGCACGGTAATTTATTCCGCGAGGAGGTTTCGCGACCTAGCGGATCGGAGACGATAAGACGGGCCGACGTTTTGCGCGCCCGTCGCGACTCCGCGATGCGAGTTGACACATCTCCGCGCGACCAATCACGATTATTATTCACGAGCTCAATTAGTGTGCCACGTCGTTAATGAGATTATGCCCGCGAGGTTGGCAGCGGCGACCTCGATTTCAGTTAATGTCGTCGCCGCCGCCGATCTCCGGCGACGCGGCACACATGGCGGCTTTGATAGTTAATTAATTTGTCGTTGAGCCGCGTTCGGTGCAACAAATTGTCGCCGCGGCCGGCACTTTTGTCCTCGGCGCGGCCGCGCGCGAGCGAAGCCTTAATTCCGCTTCATTCAATATGACATCCCGCCGCACGTGATTAATCCGACGGAGGCGGCAGCATCCACCATCGCGCGCGATCTCGCTCCGCGCATAATAAATAAACGAAAAAAAAAAAAGTAATATTCGCGGTTCCGGGATCGATACATACCGCGATAAATTTGTGGAGATTTATTGCGAAACCGTCGCGAGGTAAACTCGAACCTATTAATAACGAGGGATCGAGAGGACATTCGAAGCCTAATAATAATAAATTAATAATTATCGGGTGGTTGAATGTAATTAAGATAATAATTAAAATGCCGGATATGTTACACCTGTATCTACACCTGTAGAAGTGTGCGTAAGTAAAATTTACGAATTGCCGTGGAATTCGTCGCGACAATCGAGATCCCAATTGGGAAGAGGAGGATCTGAACAGGTGCGTTTGAACAATCGGGAGGGCAAAGGAAAATGGAGTAGCCGGGGGATAAATTATATCCGCGACATACACACGGCAACGGCAACGCTTCGCGAGCCACGCCGGCAAATTACTTTCGTCTATCGATCCCGAGCTCGCCCTATAATATAATACACGCCGACTATCGCTCGTATTAATAATTGCTCCGCTGTAATCTCACAAACACACGCGCATCCCGTAATCAGTCGCTTTCGCCGAGTTTGCAACACGCGGTCGGCGACGACAGTCGGAATGATCATATTTGTCGCGGCTAATATCGGCGGCGGAAGTGCAGCGTTATGAATAACAAGCCGCGAGATTAATGCGTATTGATTGCCGCAGACACCGCAACACGCAATACATCCATCATTATGAGTAACGTAAAAACAATTATATCATATATTAGATATTTCGTGTCTGTGACGCGATGCGCAATTATTGCGCTGTTACTGCGCACCAAAATTATTTTGAATTTCAATTTTAAAATAATTTTAGTTTCAAATTTGAAAAATGGAATTTTATTTTATCTAAATGCGTTTTTAAACATGTATCTTTTTTCTCTCCTTTTTCACACTTTTATTTCTCTTCTCTCTCTCTCTC